TGCAAATATAATCTGATTTTTAAGTCCAGAGTCGAATCCTCAGGGAACTAACCTATCTATTACAACTATGGGTGATGCTATTAGTTCAAATGATTTCCAGATGCAAGATTTTTATCAATAAATATTGGGTTTTTGTTTAACTACTTCAAAATGATATTAAAACTAACAATATGTTGAATCAAAGATAATTCAATGGTAAAAAGGTCTAGGGTATTGATTTCCCCAATTGCTAGCTTAATTCTTAACTCTCTTGCTATAATCTCGCCGTAATACTCTATGAGGATTATAAGCTATGGATTATCGCAATTATCTCTCGATCAACTACGATAATTTACTAGAGCATTCTCTTGAACTATTCCAGCTGATAACTTATGCAGCTCTGAGTTATCCCACTAAAGTTTCGTTATCTGTAACCCCACTTTTAAGTTCAAGTAAAGAATCTCTTCAGTTACCCAAAAGTGGTGTTGTTCAACAGCAATCTAACCTAGTATTCTTTCTCAAGCAACACAAGGCAATTAGACACAATTAATCAAGGGCTTATTCAATTAATTATCATACAAAACATAGTTGAACAATCATATAATAAACATGGCTCGATTATAATAAAGTTGAGTCAAAATTTCATCCAACAATTGGTTCCATCAATCCTAGATCAAATGTTTAGCTACTCATAACAAAGCAAGATAAAACAACAAAAGTATTCATGATGTGCAATTGCAATAATAAAGAGAAGAAAAACTCTAATGTTTGGTTAGCCTTCTCACACTTGTTCTTGCCTCCAAATTAGTCTAAAAACAAGCTTAAAACTTTCTTGGGTGAGTTTCTTGAGTTTATAAGGGTTTGGAATAAGTTTCCCCCAATTTACACTTTAGTCCCAAAAGTTCTGGGCAGTTACACAGTCTACCGCGGCCGCGGCAAGAACGCGGCGCGAACGCGGTGAGAGACAAACATTCTGCCTCGCTTCCTTAGCCTACCGCGGTCGTGATGGCTTCAAGCCCAGTCCTCTTTGCCTCTTTCTTGCTTATTTTCGCTCGGGTTCTTCTTGATTAGCCTTTTATCCACCTTCTTGTCTCCAAAACACTCCATAGGCTCTTCCTAACTTGGATTAGTCCCTGCGAAGTAAAAGAACACCAATTAGAGTATTTTGTTATCATTTAGCCTTTAAAACAACAATAACACATGGTGCATTTAGGGTGTAAATATCGTCTATATAGCCTATTATCAATACCCCACACTTAAATCATTGTTATTCCTCGAGCAATCCACCACACTCAAATAGAGTTCCTTCCCTAAGCTTTTCCCCTAACGTATCACACCAAGAACAACTCACCAAAGTTGCGCCTAGTAGTGAACAACTTTTGCCTCAAAAATCGAATCTCACGTGCCGTGCAATATTCGTACTTACTCAAACTACTCTATACAGAAGTCAAGACTTACCTTTACTTCATGAATCACATGCCCTCACGTCACACAAGAGAGTAATTCCACAAATAATATTATTAAGTACAATTAGGAACTCAGATAGGCAAAATTCGCTCACTCTCAAAAAGAACATTCACATGCCACAAAGATGCACCATAGGCTTGCCCATAGTGTACTACTCTACTAACCGATCCCATTCAGTCTAAGATCAATTAGGACTTTACTTGATTGTAATGTAGGCTAAGGGACGGGTAGGATATATTTGGATATAGTGACTAACCTCCCTAAGCACTTTTAATACAATCACATTAACCTTCAAGATCATACTTATGTCAACCAGACATTCCACCACATTTTTATTTATAACATCCTGTTACTTTAGGTGCAATTGTATCAAGTCACCACTTATCAACTACTACATTTACTCAAAAAAAATATAAGTGGTGCTTCTTCTTTTACTTTTCCAAAAACTGCACATTTCCTCTATTTCATTGGTTCCACTCAAAAACCAAACCACCACCCCACAATTTAACTTTTACATATTTCAAGACCATTCAAGTGCTCATGGGAGGTAAAAGGGGTTCAAACAGATGGGCTATTCAAATAATTGGGTAAGGTTCGTAATGTGGTTGCCAAAGAAACAGGCTTATAGGCTCAACGGGGTTGACTACGATGTATTACATTTAGGTGGGTCTATTTTATATATCTAGCTTAACAAATAAATGCCTATATCACTTTTAAGACTGACTGAAGCTACTATTTCGCTTAGCAAACACACGGGGCAAGTTTTAGGCATCAAATGTAAAGCATAGAATACAGTACAACTCACACACACATGGCACATGACTCACTCCATATTGTCTTATCAAGACACTCTCTTTTGAGTGCTCAAGTCAGTTACAAACATACAATTTAAGGCACTTTTAGCAAGAGTCAACCATAGAGACTAAGCGTTACACTCTAGTGTCTACTGTGTTCAGGTGTATCAAGGCCAAGGGTTTCTCTCTCTATTTCAGCTCGTAGCCCATCAATACTAACTAAAAACTAAAAACAAAATAAACAAAACCTACCTACACCCGGTTCAAGCTAAACCCTTAGAAAATAACCGTGGCCCAAAGAAAACCCAAGGGGGAGTTACTACACTACCTAAAATAAAAAAAATCTTTTTGGTATTTTCTTTTAGACTTACATCCCTCAAGAAAAACTGTCTTAACGGTCCGTCATCAGAAAGAGTCCCCATATTCCTTTTTTTTGTTCGAATTTTATCCCTCAAGAAACCTGTCGAGAGGTGTCCGTCTTCAGGCCAGGTCACAGTTAACTAACATGACCCAACAAAACCAAACAAACAGGAAAAAAAACAACACCATACACATTTATACATTTTTTTTACAACAATAACCATCCCCCACCCCACACTTAAAACATTGGCATGTCCCCATGTCAACAAATATAAAGCAAAGTAAGGTAAGGGGACTTCCCTGAAACTCAATCCTGATCATAGACGGTGCCAGGATCGAGGTGACACGATCGTCCTAGCGCCCGAAGCCATCCCATGATCGTTTTCTCCGACTTGGCCTGTTAAGTGGTCAGATTGTCAACTCTGGTACCCAGGTCAGTGACAGAAGTGCGGAGACCAGCCATGTCTTGCTCCAGGGTTGTCATACGGGTACTTCGGTGGGCCTGTGATGGGCCCGCCTCATCAGCTCTCGGTGGTGGTGGTACAGCAGCATCCTCATCAACTTCATCATCATCCTCAACCATCACTGTCGCCTCTCTCCCAATTGAGATTTTTCTAGCCCGGAACGGGGCTTTCAAATGGCAAATTCCCATCAACTATGGGATTTTTCCGGAACTCTTGCAGCACGGCACAGCCTGGTAACCAGAGAGGGGAAGTAAAATCCTTTGAGTACCTTAAGGGAGCGAATGAACATCTTGTCATGGAGGAGCCTGGCAACATCAAAATCCTGGTGGGTCATAAAAGAGTAGATTGCAGCTGCTTGTGGCCCATTGACATCGGTCGTATTGCTGGAGTGTAGCAGCCAGTTGTTGATAATTGTGAGCCAACACTTAGCCTTCCAATTGAGAGACTGTAAGTTCAATGTGATCCGGTTCCTTATCCATATATGCTCCATGTCTGGCACACATATTGCTTCTAGAATTGGTGCCCACCATATAGTTGGGTGATGAGAAGCAATGTAAGTATCTCTATCCCCTGTGAAAACTGGCAGCCGGTACACTCGGCGGATGGCCTCGAGGGATGTATTTACCCGGGTGTTGTGTACTGTGACAACCACATTCTCATGTTTCGGGTAGTTAGCATAGAACTCCCTAACCATCAGTACATTCGCCTCCTCCGGTTCCTCAAAGAAGATGTCCAGCTGACACCTTCTCAACTTAGCAAAGATATTTGGGCATTCTACTTGCAAAGCTTCCCGGTTAATATGTACCTCAGGTAACAATTTCTTTGATGCCATGGCATTATAGCTGTCCTGAGCCATTTTGGAGACAAACCTAGCGCGGTCAAACTACTCCGCACTAGCTTGACCCCGAGCTCTTGAAGAATTGCCCGGTCCACTATCGGAGGACCCTGTGTTGCGTCTCTTCCTAGATGGATGCATTGTACCTGCCAAACATAGAATCTCCTATCAATGAGGGTGTGAGTTGTGTGAACCATGGGTGGTTACTCAGGCTTCACCACTACCATGGTCACATTAGCCCTTAGAACTCCATTGGGGAAATTCCACAAACACCTTGTGAGCAAGGCACTATCCTAACACATTAGCCCTCATGGATACATCAATTCATCCCCCAAAACAAAAATTTGTACTTCACCATTTCCCTCACAACAATTAGTCTAACACCCACCAGCACACACTTATTTACAATATTGTGCACACACTTCTCTACAACATTGTGCACATAAACCATTAAAAAGCAAACAGGAAAATCAAAAGAAAAATCTACTAAAAATACTACACAATTAAAACATTGAACTAACATAAAAACTACAACAAAAATACAAGAGAAGAGAGAGAGAGAAGCATGCCATACCTAGGATGAGTAGAGAGTGAGAGGAATGGAGGTTGTGGGAGATGGGTGGGGTTGTGAGAGAAGTGAAGGAGAAGAAGAAGAGAGGAGGAAGACTTAGGGTTCTTAGAGAGAGAGAGAGAGAAGGTGGGGAAAGTGTGGGGGCGGGTGTTTTAATGAAATTAAAAGGGAGGGGAGGAAACAAAAATTAGAAAAGAAAAGAAAATAAAAAAATGAAATTTTACTTACCTGGGCAACGAAACTCAGTGAATTATCGTGGTCGACCGTGGTCCCACCGTGGCCATGGTGAGTGAAATACCTCGAGGCAGAATGTTTTCGTTTTACCACGGTCGAGCCGCAGTCGAGCCGCGGACCACGGTGGGTCGAGCAACTGGGAGGCAGAATACTCATCATTGACCGCGGTTGAGCCGTGGTCGCAGTCACGGGGATTTTTTTTATAATTTACATAAGAAAACAAAAACAAAACATTCATGGGTTGCCTCCCACGCAGCGCCTGATTTAACGTCGTGGCACGACGCATGCTCAGATCATCACTCCTCATTCGCGTACTGGGGCTCTTCTAACGTTATTATCTCTCTAACCCCTTTCTCTTCTGCCATTCCAAGGTAATGTTTCAACCTTTGCCCATTTACTGTGAACTTATTCGTCCCATCTTCTGATTCAATCTCAACAGCTCCACTTAAGAACATTTGCACCACTCTGAAGGGTCCTGACCATTGGGACTTCAACTTACCCAGGAACAATCTCAATCTCGAGTTGTATAACAACACTAGATCTTCGGATTTGAAGTTTCAATCCAAGATGTGCTTATCATGCAGTAGTTTCATCCTCTCTTTGTATAATCTAGCACTCTTAAATGCCTGGAACCTGAATTCCTCGAGCTCATGTAACCCAATGACTCTGCTGGTGCCTCTTGTCTCCATATCCATGTTCAACTGCCGCAATGCCCAAAGTGCTCTATGTTCGAGATTTACCGCAGGTGGCATGCCTTTCCAAACACAAACTTGTATAGTGACATATCAATTGGAGTTTTGAAGGTTGTGCGGTATGCCCACAATGCATCATCCAGCTTCTTTACCTAATTGGTCCTTGTCGCATTCACTATTTCTGTAAGGACACTTTTAATTTCCATGTTGGACACTTCAACTCGCCCGCTCGACTGTGGGTGATAAGGGGTGGTCACTTTATGACAAACTCCATACTTTTCCAACAGTCGTGCGAACGCTTTATTGCAAAAATGGGTTCCACCATCACTGATTATAGCTCTTAGGGTGCCAAAACGTGTGAAGATGTTTTTCTTTAGAAAGCATGTTACCCCTTTTGCATCATTGGTTGGGAGAGCTACCGCTTCGACCCACTTGGAGACATAGTCAACCGCTACCAATATATATTTGTTACCATACGAGCTAACAAATGGCCCTATAAAGCAGATCCCTTACATGTCAAAAACCTCCACCTCTTGAATTGTGGTCATTGGCATCTCGTTTTGGCGAGATATGTTGCCTGTCCTTTAGCATTCATCGCAACTTTTGACCCAAGCGTGGGCATCCTTGAATAGAGTTGGCCAATACAACCCCGATTCCAACACCTTAGCTGTTGTCCGAATTCCTCCAAAGTGTCCACCATATGGTGAAGCATGGCAAGCCTGCAAAACAGAATGTTGATCTTTCTCAGGGATACACCTTCGAATCATGTTATCTACACATATTTTAAACAGTTGAGGTTCATCCCAATAATAAGACAGACAATCGCGAAAGAACTTTTTCTTTTGAATTGAGGAGAGTTCATAAGGTACAATACCACTTGCAAATAATTAGCAATATCAGCATACCAAGGCATCTCTTCAATTGTCACTGTAGTAACTATTCATCCGGGAACGTCTCTGTTATATCCTCAACCTCTACCTTCCTCTCAGCTCCTTCCAACCTTGAGAGGTGGTCAGCTACTTGGTTCTCTGTCCCTTTTCTGTCTCGGATCTCTAGATCGAATTCTTGTAGCAAAAGAACCCATCGAATTCTTGTAGCAAAAACTCCTTTTCTATCAGGTACCTAATTGTTGCATGGTCAATATAAACAATAACTTTTGAACCAATCAAGTATGACCTGAATTTGTCGAATGCAAAAACGACAGCCAATATCTCTTTTTCCATCACGGTGGAATTGAGTTGTGCACCGCTTAGCATTTTGCTTGCATAGTAAATCGGGTGCATCAGTTTATCCTTTCGCTGCCCCAAGACTGCTCCTATAGCATAGTCACTTGCGTCGCACATGAACTCGAACAGTTGCTCCCAGTTGGGCGCAATAATGGTAGGTGCAGTCACCAATCTCTTCTTCAGCTCCTCAAATTCCAACCTGCAATCATTAGAAAACACAAAGGGTAGATCCTTTTCAAGGAGTTTGCATAATGGGTTAGCAATCTTAGAGAAATTTTTTATGAATCGCCTGTAGAACTCGGCGTGCCCAAGGAAACTTCTCACTGCCTTGACTGAAGTAGGCGGTGGCAACTTCTCAATTACATCAACCTTAGCATGGTCAACTTCGATTCCCTTACTGGACACTCGATGCCCCAAGACTATCCCTTCTTGTACCATAAAATGGCACTTTTTCCAATTCAACACTAAATTCGTCTCCACATATCTTCTGAGCACTCTTCTTAAATTGTGAAGACATTCCTAGAATGAATCCCCCACCACTGAGAAATCATCCATAAATACCTCCATAATGTCTTCAACCATGTCCGTGAATATGGCTAACATGTACTGTTGGAATGTAGTTGGTGCATTGCAAAGCCCAAAAGGCATTCTCCGAAAGGCAACGATGCCATACGGACATGTGAAAGATGTTTTCTCTCTGTCTTCGGGGGCTATTAAGATCTGATTGTACCCCGAATATCCATCCAAGAAACAGAAGTGAGACCGCCCAGCCAACCTGTCTAACATTTGGTCAATGAATATCAAGAGAAAATGGTCCTTCCAAATGGCTGTGTTCAATTTCTGGTAATCCATGTAAATCCGCCATCCTGTGACTGTACGAGTCGAGATCAACTCATTATTCTCATTTTGTATGACCGTCATTCCTCCTTTTTTCGGCACATACTGAACAGGGCTGCCCCAATTGCTATCAGAGATGGGGAAGATGATACCTGCATCTAACCATTTGATCACTTCCTTCTTCACCACATCTTTCATATTTGGGTTCAGCCTTCGTTGATGTTCTCTGGAAGGTTTGTGCCCTTCTTCCAAGAGAATCTTGTGCATACAAAAAGCTGGGCTGATACCCTTTATGTCTGTCATGGTCCAACCAATGGCAGTCTTACATTCTTGTAACACCTGTAGGAGTTGCTCCACCTGTACAGATAGAAAATCGGATGATATAATAATAGGTAAAGTAGAATTAGGCCATAAAAAGGCATACATGAGGTGAGCTGGAAGCGGTTTCAGCTCCAGTTTGGGTGGTTCCTCTACTGATGGTTTTGCCGGTGGTGTAGCCCTCTTTTCTAACTCAAGGGACTCGAATTGAGGTTCCCTCTTCCAAAATCTTTGGCCTTCGAGTGCCATGACCCACTCTACCAACCCTTCACCATCCATCTCCTCTAAATTTGTCAAGCAAACTCCCAATGGATCCTTAGCAATCAGGATCTTATCATCTTCATGCAGGATCACATTCACTGCCTCCACTAGGGAGAAATTAGCATACTCACTGGGTCTCCTCATGGATTGCTGAACGTTGAATATAACTTCTTCATCGTTCAACCTTATTTTTAATTCCCCAGTTTCATAATCGATCAATACTCTCCCAGTGGCTAAGAATGGCCTCCCTAGAATGATGGGTATCTCCTCATCTACCTAGCAGTCCAGAATAACAAAGTATGAATGGGAATACAAACTTCCCACTTGTACCAGTACATCATCAAGAATCCCTGTCGGCTTTTTAACTATGCGGTTAGCCAGTTGCAGCAGCATCGAAGTTGGTCTAGCTCTGTCAATCCTATTTTTGTATATATTGCCAAAGGCATCAAGTTTATACTGGCTCCTAAGTCAAATAGGAGCCATGGGTCTTCTCACTACTGCACTGCAGGTCTGTGTCAGAGTTACTGTGGATAAGTACTGAAAGTCAAATTTTCGTGACATTAGGTCCTTCATCATCTTTGCATAGCCTGGCATCTCCCTTAAAGCATCCATCAGAGGAATATTCAATTGAATTTGACGAAGCATCTCCATGAATTTCCTGCATTGATCTTCTTTCTTTTGTTTTGCTAGTTTTTGAGGGAATGGTGCAGGTATCACCCTTTGTGCACTGCTTGTTGGCTTCTCTTTGTTGGGGTTCTATGGCACAAGAGGTACCACCTGTTCTGCAGCTTGTTCACTCTCTTTAGCCTTACCCTTGTCATCTTGAACATGTTCAACCACCACTTCAGTAAGTTCCGTTGATTCATCTACCTCCAATAGAACTAGAGCGGCTGGCATAGTCTCTCTGCTGGATTGCGCAACTTCTTGCTCCCTGTCTAAATCTCTCCCATTCCGGAGACTTACTGCTATCAACTGATTCAGGTTTTGCTCCTTGGGGTTAATGTTCGTGTCGGCTGGCAATGTTCCCTGGGAGCGATTGTTTAAGGCCATGGATAGATGTCCCAATAGAGTTTCAATATTTTTTATTGCTAAGTCATGCACTGCCAACTTTTCCTACATCTTACCATTTGTTCCAATGAGTTGTTGAAGCATACCCCTGATTTCTACCATATTGTCATCATGTTGCTGAGGAGGTGGTTGATATGCCAACTGTTGCTGGTTCTGCAATGGATAGCCATGTTGTCTCTGATATGGCACTATTTGGCTTTGGGGCTGCATAGCTCCAGGTTGTGGCATGTTTGGTTTGTACTGCTGATTGGGTGTTTGTCTCCACTGCTGTCCTCCTTGTCTCTAACCCCCAAAATTTTTGACATAATTCATATCCTCTCTTAACCCTTGGTTGTCACCTTCTCCACTCCATGAACACACATAAGACTGATTAATGCAGGGTGTACACAGTCCTCTATTTGTTGTGTCAATGATGTGCACTTGCTTTGTACCCATCTCATCAATCTTCTTTGTCAATATAATCATCTGAGTCAATGAGTGTGGATATGTTCTCTACATGCAAATTATTTGGGTCAAGAGGAACAGAATACACTATTGGTGTCAGGGTCGTACCTCTCATCATCCAACCCGAATTTTGGGACATCTTGTTAAGAAGGATTTTACACTCTGTGAATGTCTTGCTCAAAAATGCACCCCTAGCTGAAGCATCTACATTGGCTTTTAAATTGTCTGCTAACCCCATATAGAATCTTTGGCTGAGCATCCGGTCTGGAATACCATGGTGGGGACACTTCACTAGCATCCCTTTGAATCTTTCCCAAGTTTCCTGCAAGGTCTCAGTAGGCTGCTGCTTGTACTGCAATATCTCATCAATCTGTCTTGCAGTCTTGTTGGGCGGGTAAAACTTGTTCAGGAACTGCTTGACTAATTCCTCCCATGTGACAATGGAATTTATTGGAAGCGAATTCAGCCAAGTTTGAGCATCTCTAGTCACAGAGAAACAGTAACAGCTTGATAGCTTCTAGGGTCACATTTGGCTGCCTTTGGGTCACACAAATCGACAGAAAATTTTTCAAGTGTTGTTAAGGGTCTTCAATGTGCAACCCAGATAACAATCCCTTATTCTGCAGAAGATGCAGCATGTTGTTGGTGATCTGGAATGTCTCTGCTTGTATTGGGGGAACAACAATGGAGGTGGCTAGGTTGTCAGTTGTTGGTTGTGCCCAATCATAAAGTGCAGCTTCTGGCACAAGAGGTGCCACCACTCTGACGTTTGGGTCAACTGGATCATCCCTGATGTTTTCGTTGACGTTATTTACGTCACCCATTTCAAATTCGGGTTAGTGTGTTTGTTGTGACTGTTTGTTCTTTTTGTTAGCATGGTTTAATGCCCTGAATGTTTTCTCGGGG